ATATCTGTAGAGGGGTACACAAAAAATGTCATACATCTCAAAATTGCTACAACAGAAACACATGGCCATGGGTCAAAATCCCGTACATCCAGTGAACATCCCAATCCCCACTAAAATAGGTTCTAAAATGGGTGGTGCGCCTCCCCAAAATCGGATCCCATTGGTTTTGACAACCACAGCCACATCTTGGCAGAGACCCCCTTTGGGGAGGTTCCCCAAATCGAACTGGAGCTCTCGGCTCCTCCGAGCGTGGCGGACTTGCCATGGTGCAGGCCCAGCACCTCGCACCCACGACCGTGGCCGCTTTTGGGACCAAGCGACTAGAAATGAGCCAAGGGCGAACGAAACCAAAAGACAAAAACACTGAAGCTGGAGTCAGGATATATCAGACATGTTCTTTGAATATCTGCAGTATCTTGCTGGTGCGATAGGTAGGGAATGATGATTCCAGGTGTTGGGAATGAACGGGTTTTAGGGGAACCCAAAGAAAGGAAACGACCAGTTGGATGGTTTATAGGGGTCATTCGGTCATCTGCTGAGAAACGCCTGCAAGCAAAAGGTCAAGGGGAAGCTCAAAGGTCAAAAGGTTGATGTGGTTTGGATTGGTGGTTTGGAGGTTAGCGGTGGTTTCTCATTATAAACAGGAACACCAATTTCAAATCCGCAAGCCGCCAGAGGCCAAGCCTCTGACCAAACCTCAAATGGCCACGACTTCTTGGTTGGAGGACATGTTGCTCCAGCACCTAAATAAGTGTGTGTTGTTGCTTTTGTGAGGGTACCCTCTTGGATTGATTTCAAAGGAAACCACAGGATAAAAACCAAAAAACAACAAATCAAAGACAATTTCCACACATACGCAAAGGATGTCCAACCCGGCGCCTGCAATTGCCCGCCGGCCGCCTCCACGGTGCGCGCCAAGTGGCACCTCAAAGCTGACAGGTGGGTGAAAATGGAAGCAACAAAAAACGGCGCTTTGATCAATCAATATATGGCTGTGGGTCAAAACCAATGGTACCATTTTGGGGAATGGTACCATTTTGAGGTAGGTGCACCACCCATGTTAGTGTATTTTAGTGGGGATTGGGATGTTTACTGGGGGTACGGGATTTTGACCCATGGCCATATTGGCGGAACCTCCAAGCGGAAACTAGCCATTCCGAGACAAGTCCTTTTTTTGAAACCTATGTGGTTCTAGTCTTCTTGAGCAGAAACCTCATGTTAATGGAAAACAAACGGAACACCAACCAATTTGGGGTCCCCTGATTATGAGACAAACCCATGCAGTCCATCAACCCACCCTGGCAGCGAACTGGAATCTGGAAGGCGGAGTCCTTAATACTCCTCTCTCGCTCTCTCTGTGTCCGGGTCGAACCTGTCTGTGTTTGTGTCCGTGTCTGTGTCTGTCTCTCTCTCTCTCTCTCTCTTTCTTTGCAGAGAAGGTCAGAACATGTGTTTGTTCTTTCTTTTCTTTCCGAATGATTATGATGAAGTTGCACAAACCCGATCCTGCCCAAACGCAATGCTTCCATCTGAAACAATTCATATCGCTGTCCTCGGGCAATGATGGCAATGTAAATTGCAGATGTCCGCGAATTGTGCACCAGCAGTTTTGGATGATACACTCGCAAAGGTAGACACCCAATCCATCATCTAGTCACTAAATCTGTGGGTTCACAGTTTTAGTTTCCAGCGGCTATTGCTTTGAACTTGCTATTGAGCTTATTCTATCACGCATTCATGAGTGCCAATCAGGTTTCATCTGAGCTGATGCACTCAAGTCATGTTCAAATCAAAAACAAACTCAAAGCACCTGATCCCCAGCCCTGGAACCCTTCCGGCACCCTCCAAAGACCAAAAGGGGCTTTGACTCGCTGGCTCTCACGGAATGAGGGCATGACCTCGAGAAAAACCATCCCCTGTGGTGTCGTTTCAGAGAATCCCAAACTGGTTCATTCCCAGGTTGACCAAGAAAGCTGATGCAAGCACCCGAGGCTGGCACAGCATAGGATCGAACCTCAGAGCTGATTGCTTTCAAACGCACTTACCCTCTTCCAGGCGATTCCATGAAAGCTCCCAGGACCCCTTTGGAAGACTCGGTTCCATTTACAGAGGCGTTCTTGGAGCTTCCGGCTGTGAGCCTGAGTGAGTGCAATACTCGTGGCCAAACTTACGACCAAAAAGTGAGTTGTTGGTTAGCCGAAAATGAAGGAAACCCAGAGCCGAGCACAAGGGCAAGAAGGATCAAAAAGGCCATGTAAGTCTGGCAATGATGCAAGAATAGCTTGTGGGAACCGAAACTGACATGTGAACCAACATGCCCGCTTGGGGCAAGAGACTTGCAGCATGATCATGTGACAAAGAGCCCACAAGTGGTTGCTATTGCCGCTTTTATCTCCATCTAGGTGGGTCGCGATACCGCACATGCGACACGGAAGCTATAGGCATGTTCCTGAAAGTACAATGTAGTGGCTTTGTTGGCATGACCTCTTGTCCGAGAAACTATTGTTGATGATGATGATGATTGTGATGATTGTGAAGATGATTATTTCTCATTGTAATACTTTTTCCTACTTCCTATTATAATTATCTCCCTTACGGGGAGCTTTGAACGGCTCTCATAAGGCCACTTGTACGCGATTCATCAAGGTCCCCGCACATCCTATCTGCAGCCAAGCATCTGGTCCGCATAGGTATACACAACCACCACCTCCTGTGGCAAAGCGAGCAAACCACAGCCACGAAGATTGGGGGGACGAAGAAAGCAACCACTGTACTAGAAATCAATGAGAGCCGGTTAAAAGGTTCTATATCAAGCAGGTATGGGACAAACGGCGGTAATTGATCAAGTATCGGCATTGCAATCATGTACAGCCTCACAAGGTAAACATCTGAATCAAACAGTTCTGGGCATCCAAAAAGCAATGGAACGGGTACGTGGTAATTAATTACACAATCACTCCTGGGCTGCTTCCCACGTTGATTCTTGTTTGCACTTGCACCTGCACCGAGGCGAGCCCCACCTTCTACAGTCATTTCATTTCTACAGCTGACCTATGGCAGTTTAAATGGATATTCCCAGCGCAACTCGCAATGCCGGTGATACATTTGAAACCACTCAGATGCAGCCAAACCCACATCCCACCCAAAAAGAGCGCGGCTCCTCTGACCAAGCCCTGGCAAAGCAAGCCAAGGTTCGGGCAAAAGGGTCAGGACGATTCATCTTCAATGTACGTGAACTGGACAGACTCGGGGCGGTCACTCCCCAAATCTGGGTGGGGGTCAAAATTAACCCAACAGGGGACTGCAGGTTTCGCTCCTTGTTTCCACCTATCATTCACCAGGGCAACCCATTTGAGTACCTATCTTTGACCAACCCATATTTATGGGCCTCGCAAAAAATGCCAAAGCCAGAGAGGTGACTGTCTAGTCGTGAGTGAATGCTGAGCCAGCCGAAGTGATCCACTGCTATATGACAATAATCATTAACGCTATTTTGGCTGTCTGATCAGTACTACAGACTGAAATCACGGTTGACGATCATTTTGAAAACGACCCAACGAGTGTAGTATCTTTCCTGGCGCGCCGAGGCCTACTGATTGGAAGTAGGCCTGGACATGACATTGCTTCAGAACGCTGCTCATTACCCTCCCCCCCAACAATCATGGAAGCTGATGGAAGGGGTTTGGAGGACTACTTTCCTTTTGGGGAACCTCTCGCTCCACTTCCCTTGTTGGAAGGAGGATACATGTTTTGAGTTCAATCTGCTGAAATGTCACTTATGTAGCTAGCGAGGCTTCGCCCGATTTTCGTATGTTGGGTTCGATTGACCTTGAGGCTGGGCGTCAGGTTGCGGACTTGGGCTTGGGGGGCCAAAATGAGCCACAAGTAGTGCACGCGACACTAGCTTCCCTCTGACCGGTTTGGTGGTTAGGGGGTCCCCAAGCCACCAATCAAAACCACCAATTAATCCAATTCAGGGTAACCTGATCAATGTGCACATCACCAAAGCGTGGAGAAACAAAAATATGACGTTCGGCGAGATCAAGTCGATTTCCTTTTTGGCGTCATGCCTTGCCAAAGCTCTGCAACAGCAACGATCTACAACTGCGAATTGCTTCCAAATGGCAAAACAACTCCTAGAAGTCGTACATCTTTCTAGAAATCCATAGAAGGAACACAAACAACATCTGTTCTTGCTTGAATTCACTACATCAAGCGGTTCCACCCGCGAATTTGCCCCGGCAAAACAGAGGCCTCATAAGCAGCGCCAGGAAGCGCTTCATGGCTCGTCATGGTCGGAGGTCCGATTCGGTCGCATGTGTCTCGAGGAAATCCACGGTGAGAGAATCCGTGTCAATAGGGGACCCCCGAAATTGCCGGTTTCCCTTTGGGAAACTTCCCTCAAAATAACACCTTACAAAGTGCCCTCAAAAAAGACACGTCGACGTCTTGTCTTGTCTTGAGGCTAAGGGGAGATTGAGTGGGACCGCTGGTCTTAAAGTGGACAAACCAAAGTGCTGGCACTCGAGTGTCAAATCTGCTTCGGTGAGCGGTCATCTGACTGGCTCTGTCATTGTTGTTGCTGAGTTTGAAGCTTACTCTGCACATGCTTTGTGATCTGACCATATTTTCCAGAATGACAAACGAGAAACATGTATATCATTTATATCATATGCTCGAGTAAGACAAAAACCACTGTTTGATACCAAAAGAGTTCAACTTGCGAAACGGAACTGTGACAAGTTCAACGTAGCAAGTGTTGCTTCAACTGGATTTGCCTCGATGCCAGAATCATAGCGAAGGCGGGCTATGCGAGCTACTTGTAAACCAGCAGCATGGTCCCGTGCACCTCAACTCGCCCCACCAGGACACTCACTCAAACTCGGGCAAAGTAGTAATTTCTAC